TCTATGGAACCACGTGTTCCTATTCTCAAACTTATCGCTTTTCGTGTTTCTGCCTTTCGCCTATCTCTTCACGGAGTCGGAGGGTTTCGAAGGCCATAAAAAGGTGAGACAAAATTCTGAAAGATTCCTAATAATAAGTCCCCAAACCTTTTTTATGACTATTTTGCAATCATAGGGCGTGATGGCAAGGGTGTATGAGACAGTAACAGTTCTCTGTCTCTTGGGTACTCTCGTATTAGGAATGACCTATGTCCTGTCGGCCCTGTTGGATTATCAAAACTCAAGTTTACACACGTTGCTCAGTAAGTAATGCACATTATGTCGCAAAACCGTATTTTTTTACAATTTAGATATATTCATATACGACATCCATCGCGACTTTATCAGCATAGTTACATAAATTCGAGTGAGACTACCGACGTGATATAATCTACTTTACAGATTTATGGAGTTATTATTTGCCTTTTCTATATTCCTGCGTCTCGTTCGTCGGCGTAGTAATGTTATTACGTAAGTATCATACATTTTCTATTATCTACGCAGCAGAAAAAAAATTAATTTGTAATATTTTTCAAACATATTTTTTCCGAGAACTAACTCATGTGTGTGAATTGCTCATTCCTCAGTATGCACTCCAGTAGGATTCGTACGACTGTTCGATGTGGTGGGGTCGTTTCTTGTTAAACCCCAATTTCTAAAGAACTTAGATGATGAGTTCTTCGCATATAGATTAGAGGAGAACTGTATCCGCAGAAGGTAGCATCTCTTTCTTTTTTTCCTTATATTTTTATATGCATTGAATATCATAGTTGTCTAGTGTTTATATATATATATATATATATACAATTCAGCGTATGTTCAGATTACAGCACGTAAAAGCTACGGGGAAATCGTACGTATCGCCGGTGCCGATGTCGCCGGCGATGAACTGCGTCTTGTCGTCGCACGAGGACGACGAGCCGCTACTGTGCATAAGTCCGGATCTGCTGTGTCTAAGGAACGGTGCTCTGCAAAAGGGTCTTTCTCAACGGCTGCACGACATTCAGAAGCGGCGACAGCTGCTGGATCAACAGCGAAGAACCTGGTGGGTCCGGCGCACGCTACTTTATCCAGTAGCGATGATGGCGCTGCTCATTCTGTCCACCGCCACGGCTCTATTAGCAGTGCAAAACACTGTAGAATTACTGATAGGCATCAAGGCGTTGCCGTTGAGCACGAGGGTTCGTATTTACTTCCCTTTGAATTAACCGACCTTCTAGTCGTGAATTTTGCTGCAATCATTAATTTGAGTCATCGTTATTTTGTATTGATGATGAATTTATAAATTTTACATGCTGCAATTAAAGAGTTGATGAATTTATTCTAATAAAAAGAAACAGATTTCAAATTTCTCAAAAAATTTATTTCACAAATAAATTATTTAATGATTTTGTTCGGTGATGGCATTTTTATTAACCGATCTTGTTTCACTTTTTTTTTATATAGCATAAATCTTAATTTTACTTTGAAAAATTATAAAGTCGTTTTTAATTTTAACAGCAATTTACGCTCGGCATCAGTTCCCTGTCCAAGCTCGGACCCATCGGTGCGGCCATCGAGGTGGCGGTGATTCTTTATCTGGCCGTAACTAGCGCGATTGGCCTGTACACTTTACCAGGTGTGAGAATGGTCCAACCAAGGTTCCGTTCCACGCCACTCACCCATCTCATCGCAAATTGCGCTCTCTTGCTTGTGCTAAGTTCAGCGTTACCGCTGTTATCGCGAATACTAGGTAAGACACGAATGAATGTTTTTATTTATATCCCGCACGCACGTCTCAATTCCAACCATCTTGCTCCATTATATTCTGAAATAATTGAAAATTAACAATAGATCTGCTTGCTTGTTTTTTCTCGTTCAGACAATATAGATATACAATCTGGGGTGTATTCAGGAATTCAAGGTATTATCATTTTATAAAATTTAAACAAAATAAATTATCATTTTATCCTTGTTGTTCACCAATAATCCTATCAAATAAGGATAAAATGATACTTGGATGCATCCAGATAAAATTTCTGAATGCAGCCCTGCATATTTACAGGGTTTTTTTTTTTACTAATATTATTTCAATGATGGATTCTTCGATCAATTTGGAATTAATATTTTTATTAACAAAGATGTCAAAATACAAGTAATTTTCGAGTTATAAACGATCGAGAAAAGATTCGCGAACGGAATATCAAAAATAATTATAACAAAATTACTATTTGTTATTATTATAATTATAACAAAAATACATTTAAAAGAAGTGATACTAGAGCGCAGAGTATTACATGATTGACATTATATTACTATTGCTCTGCTCACGTTTCTCCTACTTTTCCCAGGAATGACAAACTTTGATCTACTGGGTGATTTTGGACGCATCGAGTGGCTTGGTAACTTCAAGCTCGTTCTCCTCTACAATCTGATCTTCGCGACGGCGGCGATCAGCTGCCTGACCACCAAGTTCACGGCGACCGTGCGCAAGGAGATCTACGCTCGTCTGAGAAGCAGCCTGCTCGGCATCTTTAGGACCACGAGCGTCACCGCCGATGCGAAGAAATATTCATCATCGTCAGGGATATTTTATATAAAGGAAGATTAGACTGATTTGTTATATTATTATATAATTAATATAAACAACCGAGAGAGAAAAGAGACGCCGGGATCTTGCGAAAGTTTGCCTGGTTTTTTTATGTTTTTGTATGCAGAATTATAAGGAGCTTCTCTCGAACTTCTCGAAGACGTGAGAAATTTGTCGCACGACGTATGTAAGAAGAACGGAGGCAGAGAGTTTTCGAATTTGTTGATCTTTGGACGTGCCAATCCTTCGATGCTTTGGAACTCTTGGACTCTTGGATCGTTAGATTCTCACGTGCTCGAGCGATCACGTCGAAGTCCTCTGTATTTTCATATTCCAAGATTCCGAAACTGTTCGTTTATTTTAATTTTTTTAAGAATTCATGGATCCAATATATAAAACATATTAAATATATGACAGTATATTTAAATAAAGACGCCTTGCGTCGTGACTGAGAGATTGGCTTTTCCAAGGAACTAAATCGATTTACGTTGAAATCATCGGTAAACTTCATCAGCGATCCGAATGTAATCTTGAGATTTCTTTTTTAAAAGAGCCATACACTTTTGCACGCTTTTGCTCCCATGCCATCGAGAATTGCTGCATTGAAGAGCCAACGAAACTTTCGTGAGAGCCTAAAAGTTTATCGCTTAGTATAAGCGAACACTAGTGATTATTTGTAATTAAGAAGCGCGAGGCCAGTCAAGGACATGTCCGATAAGGATAACAAGGCGGTCATATCCGTAATACGTAGCATTAAATATTTATTTATTACATTAATACTAATTTTTAAGAATATATTTGTCCGGGCACGGAACAAGGACTCGGCAAGTCCGTCGGCAAGGACATCGAGTGAGTCGTGCGTATATGTATATACGCATGGCAATCGAATGATTAACTTATAATATTAACTTATAATGGATGGTAAGGACTGCAAGGAGGATACGATACGACCTAGGTTGCGCAAGATATTGAATGAAATTTTTCATCAATAGTATATCTGACACAAAAATCTATCCTCCACGGAAAGAACATTCGATGGATGTTTATTTACCTTCGAACGTGTTCCCATTTTACAATTGCCAGCTGTCGTGCTTGGAGGGAGAAATGTAGTTTCAATTTAAGTAATAAATTTTAATGACTGCTCGAAATAAAAACCTAAGAAATATTATTAACTAGATTAAGAGACTAAGTCCACAATCTTGCTTTAAGAGGCCATAAACTGTAAGCTGTAAGTTGTAAGTGACAATATATCGGCCACAGAACTTAAGCTTTTAGGCCGTAAGAATTGGGTTTTGCTCAGTTCATTTAAGTTTAACGATTAAAGCCTAAAGACTGCGCAAAAACAATTTAAAGACAGAAATTATTGTCACTTAATCTCTTTCGATTTATGACTCAAGGCCTTTAAAGCAAGATTATGGACCGAGCATATAACACGAAAACGTAAAAAAATTGTTTAACGACATCTCGTGCGAAAAAAGAAATGTTTTTAGACTGAATGAACCGTAATAAAATGAGATTTTAAAAGACTTATACATATTCTAATTGTATAAAGCGTATAACATTATAATAAATCACACGATTTTTTAAACACTTGCGATGAGATGATGAAGGAAGCTAATGAAACTGTTTCATAAGCAGAGAAATTATAATGAAATACAAATTTCGAAAAATATCTTTCATTTAAAAAAGCCGCCTTGAATCTTTGGAATATCACAGATGATGGTTTAGGCTTTTTAATACGAAAAAACCTTATTTATTATCATTTTAATCCTATTAGATTAGAATAACATCAAAATATTAAGACAGCTCTGTGCTTCTTGTATCTAATGCCCATTTCTACCAATGTAGTTTAACCTTGATCTCGGTTCAACTTACTCTTCATCTTTTTCTAGTTTCAAGAATAAGAAAAAGATGAAGAGTAAGTTGAACCGAGATTAAAGTTAATCTACATTGGTAGAAATGAGCATAAATCTGTGTCACGTTTTAGTTCTAATCACATTTTTACAAATATTTACATATCTTTTTGTCTACATGACTACTTTACATTGTCGTATTTTCCTTTTGTTTTAATTTGCGTTGATTTAACCCTCCTGGTCTGTTTGCCCAAAATGCAATTTATTTTTTTACTTAATATTTCATTTACAAACTTTTCTTCGATAACTTTGTGTTAATGTAAGACCTATTTTTTGTGATTTTTAAATATTTTTTAAGGGCTTTTTAATCATATTGATCAAATAATGATATAATCATGTAGTAAATTTGAATACAGACAAGCAGGATTATTTTATTTGAATCAATACAACGTTAGAAGTGTACAAACTACTATTATCAAATTAAATATAATTCATAGATAAACCTATTACTGCATAATGCCATGCAATTCAATCATGTATCACTCCGTTGTGTCCATTTTTAGATGGTATTTGTGTAATGTCCTGATGATGGTATGCGCCGAAATACCGTGACGCACAATCGAATAACAACTGGGTTTTGACACATCCACCACGGTGGAACCGATCCTGCGCATATCGATCTGCTTCTTGAGATTATTAGAACTGTGGAAGACACCGTCAAGCACTGGCCACAATGCGCGAAACTCGTCTGGGTGCAGACTGCTCGGCTCTTTACTAACGTTGGCACTGGTGAGCGCAAGTGGACCAACGATTTGAACAACGCTGCGAATGAACTTGTCGTTGGGCACACGGATACCCACAGTGTCAATGCCTGGATTCAGATCCTTGTTCAGAGCAGATGTGCGTCGCAGGCATATTGTGTACGGTCCAGGAAGCAAATCCTCCAGCATACCAGCTGGAATGTCATCTATGATGCCCCATATACCTACTTCCTTGACATTACTTAAGCAAACGGCCAATGGTTTTTTCTCGTCTCGTTGCTTGATCTCGTATAGACGCTGGATGGCGTGCGAATTAGCAGCCAGACAAGCCAGACCATACACCGTGTCTGTCGGCACTGCGATCACTTTTCCCTGCTGCAATAACTCCGCTGCCATTGCAACGCTACGGTCACCACCACAGAAGAAGTGCTTCTCTTGTGGTCCGAGCATCTTTAGCTCTTCCTTAGCTTTATTCATAATAACTTTCATGGGACCCATTGAGCTGGGATTCATGATAGATCTAATGCTTGCAGTATTCCACTTCTGTAAAGAGAAGAAAACCATTAAGAACTTTGTGAAAAAAAATCAGTAATATTGAAATAATCCTTAATTATGTCATGTTTTCCCGTTTTGATACACAAAAAAGTTTCTAATTGATTCATTTTTTTTTATTTATCAAATTTTAATTTAGATATTCATCAAGTTGTTTCTTTCCTGAAAAGTGGAATGTAATGTTTTATTTTTTCTTTCTTTTATCTAATGAGAATCTAGATTTTTTATATTAACACTGAATGAAAATTTATCCACATAATTAAGGAATTTTTTAAACACTTTTTTCTACTTTATAAGTTGTTATGTGTTAGACTAATTGAACTACCGCTACTTTTATATAAAAAAAATTAAATTTAATGTTAAATAATCTTATTAATTTTAAACTATTAAAATTTCAATAACAAAAAATATACTATAAAATAACAAATTAAAACCAAACTCATAAAAGTACAAAAGTAAAAAATTATTAAAAATTCACAGTAGTGTTCTAGGATTAAATGATATCTCAAACTCTAAGATGGAATACAGTTATACGATACACAATCTCTAATTTCTCTTCTATCTATTATAATTTTACTTCCTTTCTCTGTTTTATAAAAATATTTCCATCTTCTATCTCCTTTTCTGATGCAATCTCCCACATTCTATCTACAACAAGCCCTCCCCCAACTCTAATCTTCCTTAGTTCTACTTCTAATTTAAAGTTTCTCCAGAATTTCGCAGAAATGACAATAAGTTAAGAATGATTTACATCAAATAGTAATTTCAGAAGTGTAACATTTTCCTCCCCCATACTTGCGATCGTCTTGAATTACCTGTGAGATTAATCGACTCGCCACGTGTGAGCACATTCGTGATTGCAGCATCTATAGAAGAGTGTCATAGGTTCGTCGGCGGACCGCGTTTGTATCTGCTTGAAGTAAGCACGTGGATGTGAACACTTGGGGCAACGTTCATCCGTCGAATCTACTCCCATCCATGCGGATTCAGCGTCAATAATGTCAGCACGCTCTTTGCCCGTAAAGTAAGTGCGTGAACTTATTCGGGACCTTATTGGAAAAATATATGGACACGTGGGGCATGCGAATCGATTGCCCGATGGATGCTCCCGGAATCTGAGAAGATTAGCGCAGAACGGACAGAACCGCAATACCATTCTTTATTCTTGGACGTCAAATGTCTCGTATTTATTTTACAGTCTACCTCTGCACTCCGCAGATACGCCACAGGGCCTATAAACTGCTGTAATCTTACATTTGTAAAATTTATATTTATAGATAAAGGAAAAAGGATATATAATTGCTGTACGGAAATAAAATATTTTAGGATAAAGTTTATAGGGAATAAAGCGGTATTATCTTCTTTAGTTTAAACCCTTTTATTCACCGTACATTACACTTGCCGTCGCGAACGACCGTTTTTTATACAAAGAGTTCGAAAGTCTTCTAGAATGTTCCGCGTCAATAATTTCCGGTAACTTGTCACACTGTGTTCTTTCCACGCTACATGTGCTCCGATTTCGTTTACGAAATAAATTATTTACTCCGAATCAATTAAATTACCTCGAATGCAGTATTAGGCCTAACTCCGAATTTTACCGAATTACAAGAACGACCACTACTCCAAAATCACCGAGATATATTTTATACGACTTGGACACACAGTATATACAGTAGCGCAACTCTCTGTCGGTACTTTTGATGTTAGTGTTGGCCAAAATGGCTACGTTTACACCGTGCGCTTAGTCCGCGACCTATACGATAGATGTCTTTGTTTAACCTACAGGATAAACAAGGACACCTATTGTATAGGTCGCGGCCTAAATGCACGGTGTAAACGTAGTCATCGAAGTGCGCGGCCCTGACGCGATTAAAAATCCTCTAAATTTAGGGGAAAATCCCCTGATCTGGCAACACTGGTGCGCATGCGCGAAATAAGCAAGTTACCTAGCGTAAACCTAGCGTTCCTATTGTTGGATTCACACTGCATCCGATTTTCGTCGTACGA